TTGAACAATGTTATTTTTTAAAAATAAAGAAATCAATTTAGTTAAGTATAAATGTTAATCGTTCGTATAAATAACGAGAAAATAATCGAATTGTTTCTAAACTGGCAATAATCCTAGCGCACACGTATATTGTACTACCGTTGATTACAACTATGTTGCTAGTGGTCTCCACTCGGATTTAACTAGGGCAAAAGTCGATTAAGTCGATCCAAGCAAAGGCAAGTTGTATTTGTGCAAAGAGGTAGGAGATGGAGATATATCGAATGTTCAAGAGGATAGATAGAATGGACGTTTTAATCGTTATGCTTTGGAAGAAAGTAACAGGAAAGAATTATAAAGAGTAAAAAAAAAAAAAGGGGGACGGATTGATCAAAGACAAAGAAAAAGAACACGAGAAATAATAACGGTAAGAAAAGGAAAGAGAGCAAGAGGTTGAGGTATAGAGTTAGAGGGTATAGAGAGAGAGAGAGAGAGAAAAGGAGAGAAAAGGAGGAGAGGGTAGTCAGTCGAAAAGTTAGGGGAGACCGAAACGAGTCGACTTCTACCGACAACGGCGCTTACAGACGACCAAGGCGGAGATAGCTTTGAAAGTTTCGACGAAGTAAAATCCCGAAAGCAAGACGAAGTTCTCGTGATGGTGAGAACTGCCGCAAGAAGGACCGATATCCGGTGGTAGCGCGAACGCGCGCGCACGTCCTTTCGGAACAGCGCATCTTGCTTGCGAGGGGAGTGAGCGAGATGAGTAGAGAAACTTTGATACGGAAGGCCAAGAAAGGATGCCAGAAGGGGACAGAGGAGGAGGTAGAGAAGAATGAGGAGGAGGAGGAGGTGGAGGTGGAGGAGAGGGTTGGATAGGAATAGGAGTAAGTATAGATGGAGGACGAGAAAGAGGAAATAGGAGAATCGAAGGAAGAGAGTTGGGAAAAAAGGATAGAAGCCAGGACTACTACGTTGTGTATCTACAAGGATGCCAGACGCGTTCTTCTCGGCTGGACGCGAACTCGGGGCTTCTTCTTCTCTTCTTTAACGAAGAAGAGAAGAAGAATACCTATCGGCCGGGCTGATGTGAGAGAAAGAGAAAGAGAGAGAGTCCTTGCTAACTCGCGCGAGAACGAGACAGTCGCATCGATCGGATCGTTCCCGATGTGGGAGTGCAATGAAAAGCATCTTTAAGAGTAGTATAGCGACGTTCGTAAGAGTGGCTGGCGTTTTCGTAAGGGTAGCTGCTCCGGCATGTGAGCGAAACTTACGAGACGTTTTCCGATGTTGCTGCTCGTGTTAGTGATGGCGGTAGTGGTGGTGGTGGTGGTGATGGTGGTGGTGGAAGTGATCTTGGTGGGGGTAGGACTATCTCAGTCAGAAGGGGAGCAGCTACGAACGAAGAGAATCCTCGAGACTATTTATATAGCTCGCCTTCCAGGAACTTTGCAAGAACAATTTATTACGGATATACGTACCATTTAGAGAGCTCGAAGTTATTATGACATCGAGAAAACTTTATCTAAGGGTGGCCTTCGTTTCGCTAACGTAACGCGTCGTTTAATTCGACGGACTAAAGGGTACGGGAAAGGATAGGGAAGAAGATAAGATTAAAGGGTCGACAAAGGATTTCTTTGAGAATCAGCAAGTACGTGATTTTTATATCACACGTTAATTTAACTCATTCGCATGAACTTCGATATAATACAAGGATAGGAGTTAATTGATCGCGTTTATCGTATATTCTATTACGTTAATGAGATTAACAGTGACAATGATAAGAACATTTTACTTTTCGGAATAATTAGAAATTCGTTAGTTGACTCTACGCGTTTAGGAAAACATTGAAAAGTTTTTTAAAATAACGTTTCTATATCGCTTAATCGGAAATTTGTTAATCAAACCTTTCGAATATAAAACTTGGTAAAGTTATTTGAACGTTAGCTTATACTGCTCTTGAAAACGATTCCTTCCCGGTTCTTTTTTATTCGGCTCAAATGAAATACGACGGACCCCTCTCGAGGAGAAGAATCGACGAGCGGGAAAGTTCTTCTCTCCCCTCGGTTATGCACCGTTTAGCGTCGACATAGAAAGTAGAATGAGGGATAACAAGTGGTGGAAGGAGGGAAATTATTGCACGATATTTCGACCGACGGATCGTATCTCATAAATCATTTTCCGTTTTAGTTCGAAGAAACGACAACGTTATGCTTCCTTCGAATATAGTAATCTTATACTTAAGACGCTGGCCAGAACGGAAACGGGGGTGGGCTGGAGGGGGTGGGGGTGGATGTAGGAGGAAGGAAAAATCGTCTCGTAAATCGACATGATTCCGATCGTTTCGCCGATTGAGAAATAAAGTTAGTCGGTAAATTGGATGAAAGAGGAAAAAAACAGAGGGGAAGGAATTCGCGTAGTAGAGATAAGTCAAAGGATCAGAGAAAGAGAGAGAGAGAGAGAGAGAAAGAGAAAACAAAAAAGTGAGAGGGAAAAAAAGATTATCGATGTATAAGAAAAAAGTTAATGCAGGAAATGACTAAATCCACTTGTTACTTCGATATTTACGCGTTGACATTAGTAATAGTTTGATTGTAATAAAACAAAAAGGTAGGAAGAAAGTCAGGAAGGAAGGAAGGAAAAAAAAAAAGAAATAGAAAGGGTTGAGATGTCTTCGAATGAAGTAGCCCGCCAAAAAGGATAAGCTAGAATCGTTGACTCGGTCGTTCACGGATGGTAAGCGAGAAAAGAGCTAGCAGAGAGATAAAGAAGACGGCAGTCAGCGCGTCGGCCGTTGCCAGGGCAATGAATCGCAGATTGACGCAAGCGTCACGACGTCCGGTCGCGCGCACAACCCCTTTTACTACCACCAACACTAGGAACATCATCCCCCGCCATCCTCCCTCTCTATCCACCCTTTCCGGAGCGTGCCACTGCTTAAAGTATGCACCACAATAGACGTGCTGCTCTCCGATCGCAATGCTGTAGAGACGAACGGACGGACATACGGACGGACGGACGGACTGCTCGGGGCTTACAAAATTTGCCGCACTATTCTACCACACCATCACGTTCTTATCGTTATTACTCATTTCCGTAAGCTTTCTATACTCCGTACCTTTACGATTTTCTTAATATTCTTCGTGATTCCTATCCTTCCTCGGTATTACTAACGACTTTTTAGAAATATAAAGAAAAAATAGAGTTAATTCTTTTGAAGAACAAGCAACAGCAGCAGCAGCAGCAGCAGCAGACTCATTTAACGTAAAGTTCTTCATAAGTTGTTCAACGAGTCGAGTTATGAGCTTTTTAGTTAAATTGCCAATTTCCGATAATTTCGGGTAAGTTTTCGAAGATTGAAGTTTCATCTCGCGAAAGTCAAAGTTTTGTTAGTCTAACAACTATTCGATATGATAGAACTTTGCCCGATGTTGTCATCTTTTCTCGACGAAATCAATTTTCCTACTATATAACACGGGGTAGAGACGTTAATTCTAACGTAGAAAACAACGCGCACTCAAGGTGCGAGAACTGTTAAATCAATAAGACGAAGTAGTTTCTAAACGTTACATAAGATTGCATACTGATTTGGAAACGTTATTTCGCTAACACGAAACTTCTTCGTCCAACTAAACGGGGGAATAATATTCACGTCGTACATATATATATATATATATATATATATATATATATATATATACCCTATCCACTGCCTTTGTAAGTTTTATTAGCGTTACGGTCATAAATCTTGAGCGCTTCGGCTCGACGAAAGTGTTTACTTTTATGACTGCAACGGCATGCCTTGCTGCCGAGTGAAAAGCATTGAAATAATAGCGCAGAAACCTTAGATAGATTTATGATATAAAGAGATACTATTCTCGGACGGCTAAATGCATCGATTTAAATTCGAATTGGTCTCGGTTGCGCGTTTATTCGGCACAACGCGAGCCGTGGATTTACACCGAACGCTGACCTACTTCCGTAAACCAAAATCAAGGTCCCGCGCGAGTTCATTGAAAGAGAGGGTGGCGCGTGCCCAAAATTTCCAACTAAAATTTCCTCTCTCTCTCTCTTTCTCTTTTTTTTTTTTTATCTTTTCGTATCTCGATAAACGAATTTCATCCGACGAAAAATAATTCAAAACGACGTCGTCGTCGTAGTCGTCGTCGTCGATAATTTATTCGAATCAATTCGCAGATTATAGTTTTAATATAAAATAAATCGACGTAAGAGTGCCGAGAAATTGTTGGGAATAAATTGGAATGGCATTGTGAGAAAAAAAAAAAAAAGAAAAAATGATATTTCTTTCTTTCTACCCAGTTGTCGAGTAGGAACAGGCGATAACAACGAAACTACCTTCGGCAAACTTTCTTCCGAGCGAGCGGATCACACTACGGAGGCGAGATGCGCACTTTAATACATAACGCGCATCCCCAGGGCAAGACGCGACTTGGGATGAGAAAGAGAGAGAGAGTGTGTGAGAGAAAGAGAGTGCCGTAGGAAGAGCAGGTGGGGGAGGGGGAGGAAGAAGAAGTAATAGTAGTAGTAGTTATAGAAGAAGAAGAAGAAGAAGAAGAAGATAGAGAAGCAGCAGTGCTGTCGTCGTCGTTGTCCGTGAAGATGGTCGTAGGAGGGTAGTTGAGAGAGTTCGGAAGGTGGGAAAAAGTTGGATAAAAGTTGAAGGAGAAGTAAAGAAGTAGAAGTAGAAGAGTGAGAGAGGGAGGATATAGGAAGAAAGGAAAGGGAAGGAGGCACGTTAGTCGTGGCGGGTGGAGAATCGGAATGAAAGGAGGGATAGATTTGGCTAGAGGAGGGTAGAAGTGGGGGGAAGGAGTAGACGGAGACGGCGGTGTGCGTCGTCGTCGTCGTCGTCGTTTCTCTGCTGCCACCACCTTCGTTGTTCGTATATTCGTGTCGGTGGTAGTATTAGTAGTAATAATAGTAGTAGTAGTGGTGTTGGTGGTGGTGGTCTCGACGCCGGGAAAGTTTCGTCGAGGAGCGAGCGCGTGTAGCGAAGGAAGGAGAGAGAGAGAGAGAGAGAGTAAGAGGGATGAAACGAGAGTTTGGATCGAGTCAGGAGAGCGCGGTAGCGAGAGAGCGAAAGAGAGATGGTGATAGAGGAACGCGGTGCGACGGAGGCAAGGTTTTCGTCTCCAGTTCCCGCTAAGCGGCCGACAGGAATGGAACGATCGGGTTTTCTACGGTTTTCAACGTACACGTGGCTTAGCGTGGAGTAGCGTGCGGGGTTTCGCCACGCGGGACGCTTCTACACGCGCTGCTACAAGCCGACTTTCAGAGTAGTAGTAATAGTAGTAGTTGTTGGTGGTGGAGGTGGTGGTGGTAGTAGTGATGGTGGTGTTGGTGGTCCGTAGTAGTGGTTGCTCTGTAGATGCCGGTGGGGGTTGGTGGTGGTAGTAGAGGTTGTGTGACCGACCGAGCACACGACGGCCGGTAATGACGACCATCAAACGAGTAAAAGAAAGAGAGAGAGAGGAAGATTGATAGATAGTGACATGTTCGGCGGGGGGGGGKGGGAGAAAGAGAAAGAAACGCAGCGAGCATGGCTCGAGATCGAGAAGGACGAGGAGGAGGAGGAGGAGGATCAGGAGGATGAGGATGAGGATGAGGATGAGGATGAGGAAGAGATAGGTGGAAATGGTTCGCGCACGAGTTGACGCGTGTCACCACCGCGATGCACAAGTTCACGCGTGGCACTACGCGGTGACCGCGCGCGATGCTGCCCGTCGAACGCGAGGTCGACGTGCGCGTCGACTGTGACTCTCCTCTACCTCCTGCTACCTCCACCTCCACCTCTACTTTCGAGCGCCTCCTCCTACTCTCGCCAATTCTCCTCTCTCTTTCTCGTGTTCTCTCTACCCCTAGTGAGATATTGATTTCCCTTAGCTGACTCCCACGAGAGCAGGCGGCAGGCGACCAGGTACCGCTACCTCCGCGACTAAATCGAAGATCTTAGAGAGATGAGAAAGAAACAACTAATCGCATACATTGCGCATACGATTTAGTTTATTGAGATCGATAGACGGCCTATCGTTTTATATGCTTCTACTATCTTTTTCTTTTCTATCCCCCTCTCCCACCCCCCTTTCTCGGTTCACGTCGTAGATACATCGACGATTTTTACGGTGACCACGTGTCACCCGTGACCGCGCCACATCTACTACTACTACTACATTACTACTACTACTACTATTACCACTACTACTTGGTATTTCATGTTTGCCGTCCTTTTCCCACGCGATCGAAAGATCATATCTCGAAGATGGGTTTTATAATACCCCGTACGGAATATAAATTTAACTGGTTTTTATCGCGATTTACAGGTTAATCGAAAAATCACCGGTTCTTTTATATCGCGAATGATGTATCTACATTGTTGAAAAGTTTCAAACAAATGGAAGGTAGCATACAAATTTTCTTTTTTGTTTTTTTCTTTTTTGATGTTTTTTTTTCAGATATCAACTTTTTTTCTTCGTTCAATCGATCGATAAACTAATTTCAATGGGCGAAAAAATGTATTCACGTTTCGTAGCTTCGGTTACTATTATCCTTTTACGTAGTTCGTATCCCGCGCCTAGAATAAATATGACTTGTGAACATAACGTTTTAACGTGTGTATGCACGTAGGTACGTCGAAGAATTATTTGATTTCCTACGGAAGAGCAACAGCATATTCTCTGGAACTTTTGCTTTTCTCAAATATACACGTGTATACGTGTGTTGGGGGCACATAAATATCCAAGAACGATCCGAATCCCGTACGCATCCCCGAGAAAGTTTTGCGAAGTCCGCCACCATGTTGGTTCCTGCGCGTTGCTCGTCGCCAAAGTCCTCGGCGACTTGAAACTTTTTTATTTACCGCGTTTGTACGCGTAGGTACACACAGAGACGCGGACAAAAGAGAAAGTGGGGGTAAACCCTTCCTTCCATCCCCTCCAATTTCTTTCTCTCTCCCTTTCTCTTTGGCCCTTGCTCAACCTCTCTCTCTCCCTCTCTCACTCTCTCTCTCTCTCTCTGGAAAGTCGAGATAGCATATAAGTATCTGTCATCCCTACCACCACCGGCTTGCTACACGGACTCGTGCCGCCTGCCGCTTTCGAGCAAAGTTTTCGCGAGATCCTGGAAACTGCGGGAGATGCTACGGGCGTAGAGGGAGTACGCTCGAAGGAGGGTAGAAGGAAGGAACGTTTGCTGGTAGTCTGTGTACTCATACTCACGGGGTTCTCTTTTCAGCGGATTCTAACCTACTAACGAGTTTACTCCGTCGGTAACGCCGGCACGCGTGCCGCCTATGTAAACGTGTCGTCGTGTAGTCACCAGTCACACGCACATTGGGGGATGAGTGTGGTTGCACGCCGCGCGAAAAATCATACTCGTGATATGACTCGTGATCGTATCGATCGTAATACGAACGATAAGAAACCCGAGCGTATGTGATAAACGATTTTAAACGCGAACCTCGTCGGCTCTTTTTAAGAGCTCGTTAACAACATTATCGAGGTATGAATTTAAACAAAGTGTTTATTTAATCTTTATTTCTTTTATTATCTTTTATATACTCTCTTCTATACATTTTTTTATTCTTATCACTGAAGCTCCTTGGGTCGTTTTTCTCGTTACGAGGGATATCAGCGAGCGAAAATGCGATGTAGCGTGGAAGAAATACCTGAAGTTAAACCCCTGTCGACAGTCATCGTGTACGAGCGAATCGGTGCCGGATAGTATTCTGTAAATACGACCGATGTAATTACAATGACGCGCTGTTTTTAAAAAGTCTTCCTTTAATAACAAGATAATATTCTCTCTTATTTCGTTCCTTTAAATAAACTTTTATGCAATGTTATCACATTGATAAATTCGATTAACGATTGAAAAGAAAAAAATGTTTTCAGCTAATCTATCCTTTAGAAAGATCATATTCTTAAGATCAATTTATTGTAATACGTAAAAATCTTTTGGCGCGATTGTAATTTATATTTAATTAAATCAATTCTTGTGTGCGAGAGCATCTTATGTTAGAGCGATGCGGGTCAGCTGATCGCCTAGCGGATAGGCTATATAACTTTGCTTGTTGTGAGAGAGTATCAACGCTTTTGATTATCGGGATTCCTCAGCGCGCAGGCTCAATGCGAGATTAATCCTCTGTGCGCGAACTCCTTCCATTAAGCAACTTACCAATACACTGTTCATTCGTTCTACGTTCGAAACTTTCGTGCGGCGACGAAAAGTTTTCTGCTTATGTAGTCAGACGGGATGATCAAAAAACAATCATCAAGTAATCTTTACGATGTTGATTATAACGCATACAATCACACGAAGATGCTCTGATTAACGACAACGACAACGACAACGACCAACGCGAAATATATTAACCAGTTGAAACTTTTCTCAGAATATTTATATTCATCATTATGCATTACGGGTCAGGATATTCGGTTCTTGTTAACGACGTTAAGTCAAGATTTTTCTTTTACAAAAAAAAAAAGAAGCTTGGTAAACTAAAAAGCTATTCTTTGTGAATATTCTTAATTGGATACAATTTTGTCCGTTTACGTTTTAATAACTTTACAAGATAAGAAGTATCAATGTTATCCAAGCAGCAGCAGAGACCTGAAAGTTTCGCGTAAAGTCTCGCGAGGGAGCCTGGAAGGAATACGAGTTTCTCGTTTGAAAGTTCTTTCGTTGGAATTATTCCGGTCGTTCGAATTCGTACGCGTTTCGTATAGAAATATCACAGCGGTGTATCTGTCTCGGTCTTCCACGCAAGACTGGAAAATTTACAATGTATTATTGTATCCTTCGTTTAACACCACTCGGAATTCGTAGTCTCGGTGCGCGTAGCAAACGCGAGTGTGAGCGTAAACGAGAGTAGGAGAGAAAGAAAGAGAGAGAGAGAGAGAGAGAGAGAGAGAGAAAGCCTAATTAGGCCGTCATCGTCCTGGTTGCGCGTTGTAATTCTGCGTTGCCGGCATTGTGCTTCGAATTCTGCCAAGTGGCTGTTAGCAAGAGGCTTTTGGAATTCTTCGAAGCGTGGTCCAAGGCCTTTCAACCTCAATTCCACGCGCGTGCGTCTCGTACCCGTTGACGTCGTCATCTTCGTCAGAGAAAGAGAAATACACAGAGAGAGAATAAGAGAGAGAGAGGGAGAGTTGTTGTCCCCGAAGTCCTCGCTGAAGTCAACGACAAAGTCCAAATCGTGGCTCATTGTTTTCTCGTTGCATCTCATAAGAACTCGTTAGATGAGAGTTAATCTTCTCCTGCTGGAAGGCTCCAGCACCTGCACCCGCATCCGCACCCGCACCCTCACCCGCACCTTCTGTCGTTTCCTGGTTTCGCGCGAAAATCCAACGTGCCGAGAGGAAAAAAAGCGCGGAGAGAAAGGGTTGCAGGAAAACGTGCGTCGACCTCGGCTTATAGCGCGCGCGCGCGCACACTTTTGTGCTTTTCTTTCAGAAGCCCTTTTTTCTTTCTCCCTTTCTCTCGCGTTCTCCTTTTACTTTTCTTTTATTTATTTCTTTTTCCTATTTTTTCCTTTTTTTTTTCTCTTTTTTTTTCTCTCTCTCTCTCTCTTTTCTTTCCTTTTCTTTTGCCATCCCTTTTTTCTTCTTTCATTACTGCACAGAGGCTTGTAAAAAATATGTCGCGAGACGTATCCATAATAAAATCCAAGCGCGACGTAGAAAAGAAGCTTGTTAAGTGCATCTAAACCTTGTCTTTATTCAGAAGCTCAAATGTTAAAAAACTACAAAGCTGTTTCCGTGACACGGGCCCCGTCTTTCTTGTCTAATTCAATAGGGTTGGTTTTAACCCTCTCGTTTCTATATGTAATTCCTATTGTACTGACGTTATTCCCGGTTACGTGTGTATACGGAACGCACACGATGAAAAATGTATGAATACTTGTTGGCTCGAGTTTACCCGACGATTCTCCGTTGCTCTTTATCACGAGAAAATGCTCTTTCTCTCGTATTCATTTTACAGGCAGATTTACCGAGTCTTCTTATGAGAACGATAAGTGTGTAGATAGGTCGCGTAAGTTGCCTGATTATACGACGTCTATAACTGCAGGTGGACGCTAGTTTTATTAATTCGTTTTCTATTTTTTTTTCTTCTCTTTGTTTTCCCATTCAGTTATAATATTTTTATACATACTTAAGTGAATTCATTTATTAATTAATTCACGTCGAGATCAATCGAAACGATAGATCATAATCCGTTCGAATAACATTAAAAACAAGATAATTATTATTCATTATATTATTTAATTAGATATAATTATATTTTGGATCTTTCAACTAATAGAATCAACGCGATAACGTTTTCTCATCGGACAGTCGATGAAACGTGCTATGAATTTTGATAGCTCCGCCTCTGATCTAAAGTGATGAAAAGGGATCTTGTCGTTTCCGTGTATTTCGAGCAATTTAGGTTCGTTCATTTATCGTTTATGGGGTTTAATAAATCACTTGTATTCTAATGAAGATAGGTAAATGTTTATGTAATTAACAGTTATATTTCGTTAATGGTTTCTCTTAGTATAAATGAGTCTTTCTCATCTGTACACTGGTACCCATATTTATATACATAATTTTCTCGTTTTCTAGGTTACGTGAGAAGAATACCAATCTTTGTTAGATATAATAGGAAGAATAGATAAAAATTTTGCAAACTTCTTCAATTCGTAGAAATATTCGTTTCGCAAATTTTACATGGGATTTGCAAAAGCGGATTGATTTTATTCGGCGAACGTTAATGCGATTTTGGTATATTATTTTGGTCTCTACGTACGTAAGATAAGAATCAAATAGAAAAGATTTTTATTTCTTTTTCTTTTTTCTTTTTACAAAAAAAAAACGTATTTGATATCATATCAGTGAATACACGAGAAATCTTAAATCCGGATGATGTTTTCCTAAGTAATAATATCGATATCCGTCAAATTCGTAAAAAATAACAAAATGGAAATGGTATTGTACAATCGATGCATTCCTTTACGAATTCAACTTTAGCGAATTGACTTTCGTGTATCTGTTAAACGTCGTTCCGAAGTTTGCCTCTTGAGAAACTTTGACAACGCAACCTCTCGCACGTGTAGTACGCGACTGATTCACGAGAAATCGAGAGACTTTCTTTTCGCAGTGTAAACTAGAAAACAAACAGGATGCCCCTTATCTTAGAAAACGTCTTCGTGAACTCATGTGTATTCGATATGTTCCTTCTATCTAAAATGCTCGTCTATTTACGTAGAATTCAGTGTGTGTGCGTGTGTGTGTGTGTGTGAGAAAGAGAAGATTCGTTCGATAGAGATGCGATTTTCTTTTCTCGCTCGGTAGAATTTTTCATAAGTTTTTCGATTTGCCCCCTCTTCCTTTTCGTTTCTATGTTTCTATCGCTATATCTAACCCTGTTTCTTTTTCTATTTCTCTCTCTCTCTTTCTCTCTTTCTCTCTTTTGCTCCGGTTACACGATTTTAGGATACGAATCGATCTTGGAATACGCGCAAGAAGGCTCAATTCGAATCTGGAACGGTGAATTTTTATTTGGTCGACTTGCTAAGATCAAACCACCGATTTATAGAACGATGCAAATTTCGATAAGACTGATTTCTTTTTGTTTGTTTGTATTCTTTGTTTTGGTCATTAAAATTTTTCTTCACCAGTAGAGACTTGACATCATCGGAACGAACAAATGGATAAGATATCTCAAATTTTCGTATCAGAATGATAGTAGTAGTCTTGTTGACTATTGCCGAAAAAGAGATCTTCGAAGAAGAATGAAAACAAGTCGATGAATTATTATAAAAGTTGTGAATATTGATATAGTAAAGCAAAGTAAAGTAAAGTAAAGTAAATCGTGCGGGTGTAATACTGGTACCGTAAAACTAGTTGAAAAAAATATTGTCAAGCTATCGTTATTGGATCGGAACTTGAAAATTGATCGACCGAGATCCTTCTTGCCTTTTTATCATGCTACTGATAGAGAGAGAAAGAGAATGAGAAAGAAAGAGAGAGAGAGAGAGAGAGGGAGAGAAGGAGGAGAGAAAATACTTGGCAAAAGGAAGGAAAGGAGAAATATCAGAAAGATAAAAAGTAATCTCGATTTGATGCATTCGTTCGTTTCGATTTGCACACTTTACGGTCACGCTATGGTGGCGGGGGAGGGACGGAGGTAGGATTAATAGAATATCGATTGAATAAATCGTAACGACGGATTGGAAGCTTACTCATCGTTCGTGCGAGTAAACAATAAATAGATTTAGATTAATTAATGAACAAACATAACTCTTGTTAATAACATTACCGTCGTTGTATCAATAGAAATATTATGGAAAGGCATGTATGTATGTATCTTTGGATGTATGTATGTATACGCATAAATATATGTATACCTATAACACGTGTGTACATATGCATTTCCGTTATTGGGAAATGTTTTATCAATGTATCGATTGCATACTTAAGTAAAGTCGTTATATCTTCAACATTACGCTGCATTACTTTTCGATATCGAGGCTATCGTATTTCTTAGAAGCGGATACGTTAAACCTCTTAGGAAATCTATATAAATTATGTTCGAAAGCTTATATACAGAGATACGAAATAATTTATTCGATATCACGGATGTAAAGTCGGGGTAAATTTGTGTAATCGTAATTTTTGTTTAGGTAGAGGGTTTGTTTTTTTCCTCTTTTGTGTTTTTTTATCGACGCAAGAGTATCGAATACGAGTCACCCCTTTATGAAACTTTTTTTCCGATCGCTTCGGCAATTTGATTGTTTCTTTTCTTTTCTTTTTTCTTTTTTTTTCTTCTTTACGCACAAATCATTTTTCTTCTCTCTCTCTTTCTTTTTCTTTCTTTCTTTCTTTTTCCATCAGAATCGAAGTATCGACACCATCCTCCCCCTCCCTCAGCCGCCCCCCATCGCGCGACTGTTCGCGAGCGAGCGAGCGAAAAAGTTTACGTCGTAAACTCCGAGGTTTTAAGGGTGGAATTATAGTTCGGTAGCGCTTTGCACGGTGCAGCGCAGTTGTTACCACGACGGAGCGTTTTAAAAGTTGCTCCAGGAGTCTTCGTATAGGTGAAAGACGAGAAGGGTGAGAGGGTGAGAGAAGGGTGAGAGAAGGGTGAGAGAAGAGTGAGAGGAGGGTGAGGGTGCTAGGAGTTTGTGGAAGCAGCAAGTCTACGTGGAGGGTGGGCTTGGAAGGAGGTAAAAGCGCGGTTAAGTTGCCAAGAAACTTTGGTAAAACTGAAAAGTTAATTTCGTCGTGTTAAATTACTCGAGCGCCCGGGCATTAAACTTGCAAAAGTTGCCCGGATGACTGAAATACGTACTGTTCGCCTTCTTCTTCTTCTTCTTATTCTTTCTTCCTTTTTCTTCATCTTCTTCTTCTTCTTCTCTTTTATCTCCATCTCTGTTCTTTTTCGTCTTTCTACTTTAAAGTCTTTGAAAGTTGCAAAGATTTGATCACTGATCCGACGAGCAAATATGTAGCTACGGATTAATAGTTTCTTTATTTCCTCTTCCAAAGTTAATTATCGGAAATTACGTATATATCGAGAGAAGTTAGAGATGATTTTCATGATTAATATCGTTCGAAAGAATAGGACAACATGAGATCGGTTTTTTGTTTTTTGTTTTTACTTTTTTCTTGACATCATCGCTGGACCATAATGTTCAACGTTCAAATCGATTTCTCCATTCGCTCGTAGGTCGTGTTCCATTTCTATTTCGGTTCTCGTCGTGGATGAATTTATATCATAAATAGGCTGAAAAGAATTACATAATAACCTGTTATTGTATCACAATGAGTACTTTTATATCTAACGGTAGACCGAGTTTATAGATTCGCTTGATTGCTAGTGGTCTTCTTTACTTAAAGTAAATTCTTGGTATTGTATTATATGTATGTATTATATTTTTTAATCATTTTACGAAGTAAAAAATATATTTCGTTAGATCTAGTACGAGAATTACATAAAAATGTGTGATACGTTAGTAACTTTTCGATTTAATTTTAAAACATGTAAAGTAATATCAAAGTGTTGAAATTTGTAATATGTATTTTTTTTTTCTTTTTTTTTATTTCAACGAAACTCGAAAAACGAAAGTTTATTATTCTCTTAGAATGAAATTCATTGTTAATAGGAAGTACTCTTTTTTTTGTTTTAATGAATTTAATGAAATACTAAATGAATCTTTGAGTTGAATTTTAGAGTGGAGAGAACGTAATCGAAATGGTTCGCTTCGATTTGATCTCATGAAAATGTTATACATTTAGAATGGGCTAGCTGTCTGATTAAAACCCAACTGCATACACTATGCGACAAGTCGAGTGCTTTGAGTTAATTGCCATCAATTTCGTTCGTAATACATTTCAAATAATTTTCCTTTTTTTTTTTTATTTTAAAACAAATACACAAAAATGAATTAATTTAACATCGACGTTAAACGTAAGGATTTTGAATGATTAGTTTGTGTAATACGTAAAACGTTTCGAAATATTCGATCTCTGATTTTTGTATCTACCCATATTAAAACTTTCATTTGCCGTATAACCAAATTATTAAAACTTTCGTTTGCCGAACGATCAAATAATTCAAATTTTCGTTTGCCGTACGTACTATATTAATTATTAAATTAATCATTGGCCAAAAGGATTAATATATTAAAAACGGTGAGATAAATTAACGTGTTTTATTTTTCATCATAGAGTTAGTTAATAATATCGTCGGACACGAGTCTCCGATTAAAATGAAAAAAAAAAAACATTTGAAATTCATCGTTTGTCGTTTAACCAGGTATTATACGTATTACTATTTTTTTTTCATTTTTCTTGTTGTTGTATTTGTTTCTTTTTTTATTATCGTCAGAACGTTCTATTTGAAATTCTTCATGGAATTACTCGGTCCACGAATCTATCGGTAAGGTCACGGTCGTAATCTCGTCAGGTTTGTGTTGAATACACAGATATAAACAGCAGCATCATACACGTATGCACTAGCGTAGAGGGAATGGACATGCGCGTAGAACAATATGCACGTGTCGAGACGTATGTGTTGTACGATTTGGCGCGTGCGTAAACATGAAGGGAGAGGAGAGAAACTTTTGCGACTGTTTCGACGAGGTGAGTTACCTCGAGGATGTTCGCGGATGCTGGGCGCGCGACTTCACCTTTTCCCTTTCCCTTCCCCTATCCCCGCCCTCACCCCTTCCTCTTCCCTTCTCTATCATTTTCTCATATACATATTACATACGCATATGCGTACCGACACTTTTACGATATAACATCATTTTTAAAGGATCCTATTTTCGCAGGCAATGTAGAATACTTTTCGTTAAATTTCCATTTTTGTTTTATATACCTTCAATTTTTATTACTAAAAACAAAATTGTTTTTATCGTTAGATCGATGATTCGTATTTTGGTATTGATATTTTTTTGAAGTGGTATATAAAATATTTGTTTATCATTGATATCGATGGGGTGGTTTCATTTTTCATCGTTTGATATTATCGTTATTATATTGTTATTTATTGTAATTATATTCAACGTTTCATTTTTGAATTGTTGATTGTATTTAGCGTATAAAAAATATTGAATATTATTAAATCTACAATCGATTCTTTAGTTATATAAATTTGAAAAATAGTACACCCAGTATATCGAGGGTTTTGTTCGTCGTTGTCGTCTTCGTCGTAGACGTAGGCGTATATGTATATATAGGTGTATATATATGTATATATATATAGGTATATATATGTATTTAGGTCCTGGTGGCGCGCGCCACGCTACATCTCGCTCTCGCTTCGTTCACTCGTCCTTGTCTCGGAAAACTTTCCAGTGATGAGCTTTGTTGGTCGTTTCCCCAGCAGGACGGAAAAGTTAAATGCGAAAGTTTCAACCGATATCCAATGCTGCGATGTGCTTCTCCCCTCTTACGAAAAGCCCGTTCATGCATGTGTGACATCCGAATTAAGATTTATCACTTTTGTTTATTCAATACTTTATTTCTGTAGTTTAATTATTGTTAATAGATTTAACGTTATAAAATGCCGTCGGTGTTAATATTTATATGCAAACGTTTATTTTCATTTGTAAAAATAATAAAGGAGATATTTTCTATAGAAAAATATAATATACACGTATACATATATAAGTGGCTGAAACTAGAATTAAGGGATGCAAGTGACATTTGTCAAAAATTTTTCGTATTATTTTATCGGACGAAATGTTTAATTTGTAATTGTGCATTTATTTCAAATTAAAAAAAAATAATAATAAAAAAAAAAATGAAAAACTGTTACTTGTATCACTTTTCCTTTTTAAACCACTCGTATAGTATAATCGTTTTATTTATAGGATGGCGTCGAAGAAGATTAGAAAGAACCATTCGATACAACATCTTCTCGAATTGCCATCCAGTAGAGAAACTAAACAACCATCGCAATTTTCATCTAAACAACCAACTCGGTCATTGCCGATTTCTACTCCTCGTCAGGTGCCAATCACCGTCTTGCATCCGACACCGAAAAAGGTAAGCCGAGTTAATATAAATGAATATAAACGATAAATTATATATCAATTTCGACGCGTCGAATAATAAGATTGAAGTATAATTATCTGGCGAGAGATTGTAGATGGATAAAAATAGTTGCATAAAACGGGGAGAACTATCGATCTCTCTCTTTCTCTCTGTCTCTCTCTCTCTCTCTCTCTCTCACTTTTTCTCTCTTTCTATCTATCTTTTTCCTTATATGCATTTATAAGTTTCAACTTACCTTCGATTCTTTGTATTTGTTTTCTTTTCTTTTTCTTTATGGAACTTCTTTGTGCTAAATTTATTTGCGCGACTATTCGCGAATTAGATAGTGTAACGTTCTTTGATAAAAGTTTAGCTATAAAATTGTTAAAAGACGTAAAAAAGATAGGTTTGCCGGGGGAACGTAAAGCGAAACGATTGTAACGACAAACTGCTGACGTTTTACTTTGTCAGACTCGTTCCTTTTTTTTTTTTGCGCTCTCTCTCTCTCTATTTTTTTTCTCCTCTTTTTTTTTTTTTATCGATCATTCAGCACGTGGGATATTGTTATTACTCGTATAAATGTCTACGTAAGCCAAACGCAGTGACGAGCAACGAAGCAGATAATTTTCAGGCTTTATCACCAACGCATTCATAGTTTAGCACATTCGTTGTTAATGATTCTTTTCATCTGTTTCAATTCGTTTCAGGATGCAATCCATATCGATTTTCGTAGAAAATAAAACACGCTATTTTTTATCTATATATATATGTATTACAATTTATTATTATCAACGAAGAATTTTTTAAATTTGTTTTTCTTCAATAATTATTTTCCATAGATTTTTCACATAATTCTATGAGTGATTAGGTCCCTTTGAATAGCGAAGGGATATATAGACGATTCGTCGAAGATTCTACCCCCGTTACAGCCAAATAACGATTTTTAAAGTTTCTCCAGAAGTTCTGATTCGTTTCAACCCTCTTGGGAGTTGTCGGGAAAGTTCAGACGAGATAATTGGGGGTGGAATGGAACTTCTATTCATACGATATTTTATCTACTCGCCGTAAGAATCTTACGGCGCTGCTAAAAGCAAAAATGTTTTCAATATGAGTATCGAAGGAAGATTGTCAAAGATGTTTGCTGGAAGTAGGAATCTTTCTTACCTACATTCAATAATTTTGCTTCGATAAGTATAGAAAAATAATTACGATATTGATAATATTTAAATAATATTTTTAGATATTGAATAATTTCTTATTTTTAATGATAAATTATAATTCAATATATTGTGCAATTATTTATAGTTATCCTTTTATGTAATCACTTACCGACATGAATGTCGGTATTTGTACTTATCAGTCGATGGTAATATATTCAAACACAAGCAAGAGACTCTCTGTCGATAAAGTAGAGATACATTCTTATCGACCAACGACGAGTGAAAATCGATTAATTTTTATTATACTATTGATATACTGTCTTTTATTCTTTTCATTTATATTATATTTTTTGAAATAATGAATAATTTAAAAATATATCATTTTTTTAAAATGTTATTATAAATTTATTGTAAATTATATAATAAATCTCTATTGTTTTCGTATATATATATGAAATACAAAAGATATATCGAAAATTAAATGATGAGAAACTAACGAGGAATGACGTCGTCTCATACAAAAGATCTTTTATGAAAATGGTGACGCGTACTTTACAGGGATATAATTTGCTATTGAAATCTTGTGAATGGAGCTTCTCTAGGAGAAGCGCCTTAAGCATACACCGGGCAGGTCTGAATTTATGATAATTGCATAAATCAGAGCTTTCCTCCACAATAATCATAATCTATTAGGATAGTTATGCGAAGTTAGCTATTTAGCCAACGGCGAATAGGGAGAAGGGGGCTAAGGGATTCCGCGACGTTTTGAATAAGACAAATTCTATATATATATACCCGTAAAATCAAAGTTAGTCAAACTATCATGCACTTTTTCTTTACTAGATGGTAATCGATGCTATAAACTATTTCTCGATACAGTTTATAATTTATCCGTGTAAAGAAATAAATTAAAATACATAATTCAATCGGAATTTCTTTTTTTTTTTTTCATTCTTTTGAAAAAGTTTACATAAGACTAATATCTATTCGTTAAAAGTTTTAATCTTTGATACTAATTTGTTCTACAAAGATAAAATTAGTAGATAAAAGTCTACGTTAAAAAGAGAATGTGTAAAATCAATAAAGCCAACTGCTGGCTATGGAGTTTAAAGGGTTGACTTCAGAGGGTGCTGCACGTATATCCTAGGGCTCGTACTAATTCTTCTTCTTCTTCTTCTTCTTCTTCTTTTCTTATTCCTTTTATCAAAAATATTTTTATTTAATAAATTCTATCGCACTATTTGTCATAGTAAATAATCCATTACGATGTGATCAATGTTAAATGATTAAATCTGTCACGATCAATTACTATCAATAAATATATACTTAAATGTAACCACGAGACTTTTCTTTTATCACAATGTAAATTGATCTTAATGCATTCGACATTATATAGCAGTTACTCAATATTACCAGCATAAAAAAATAATCATCCTCCCGTTGTTTCTTTCGGTAAGCAGTGGGAAAGTCACCAGCTGACTATCATTTTATGCTCCCTGCTGATTTCTTTATTACAAAGACCGAAGTTAAGACCCGTTGGCTTCCGCGCAACGTTCTTAGAATATTAATGTTAAATCTGCTCTGGCTTCACCTGTAGGGTCGTTAGGGGCACGATTACTATTACGATTATATTCCTTCCTTCAAGGCTTTCTCTCTCTTACATCTTATACAGGGTGTATCATAACACGGTGAGACCCACTTCGGTAGTGGACAGGAGATACAATAAAAATAATTAAAATAATTTAGATAATCATGTGCTATATTTGATTTTGTTTCAAAGTTATAGTCAGTTATGTGTTTCAATAATCTATAATACCTTACTTTCATAGAAAGTGTTTAAAATAGTCATCCTCTGTCATGCTGCTGATTATTAGTTATAATAATGACAACGAGAATCAAACTGATTAATTTTTTTAAGTCACTATGATCAACAGAACATTAAGCCACAAAATAAGTACAAAGAGATTTAATTTGATTTCATGTTAAATCTATTGCTGTTAACATTTTAGGATTTGGAATAGGGTTGACCAAATCCTATCCTCAGAGTCCTTTAACAACATTCCCTGAAAAAGGTTATCCGTTTGGTTGAGCACTAATCCTCTGTTAAACCGTAAAAGAGATATCAAAATACTAGAAAGTTAGTCTCGTATAAATCTTCTTAAGTAGATCTGTTTATTACTCTCATGATTTATTATACTCCACGGTATGTTTGTTCAAAACGTTTCTTAGAAGTAAAGTAAATAATTCTTAACGCGAATAATAAGACGAAACGTTTTCACACGGAACGATCATCGTAATAGGACAATTACGAGTTGGTATTGCCGCATTCTTTTGATATAACGGGAGGATTCAAGAACCGTATCTCGAAGAAGGAGAACCAGGAGCAGGAGAATTGTCACAATAGTCTGCTGGTTTAAATCTCGACAAGGGGGAACGAGAGTTTATAAAAATCGTGTCAATTAGGTAGTCAGAATTCGGACTGGAATTCTTACGAAAGTATTTTCCAAAGGGAACAATCGTATTACGATTTATGATTGGTGGTGGTGGGGTGAGAGGGGTTGGTGGCTTGGGGGGGGATCTTTTTATTTTCTTTTTTTTCTATCATTCCATCACCGGTTACAATCTCGCACAATTTGCTATTAGAAAACAGCGAAGGAGGATATTGATTCTCAGGGTTATCCAAGTTCCTTTTCCAAGGACTTAAGTAGATACGCTTGCATTCGATGGAAAAGTAAGACGGTTTTCGACGATCGACGGTCTAGGTAATGCCCGGGGGCGAGGATTAGTCCTTAGGGCATTGTAACATCGTAAATATACCTACTCCCGTTTTTAGCTGCCCCCGTGCCTTGCCGTTCCTTCCTTCCTTCCTTCCTTAAGTTTCGAGCCGCGATGTCGTCTCCCTCAAACCTTTAAAACCTTCACAACCTTATTCCTTCGTCGACGAGCAACTTTCGACGCTTGTTTTAATCGACGTCTTAGAGTTTGATATTCCATTGCAAATAATTGTACATCGCTTTTGTAACATTCATTTTCGTTCAATTCTTCGAGTCAGACCGATGAGAACAGGCTGAGGGAGTGGTGGGAAGAGGGAAGGAAGAGGAAGAAAAAAAAAAAAGAAACTAAACAGGAAAAAGAACGTAAACGATGTTAACGATGTGATTAGCAATTGAGAACAAATTTGATCTTAGGTGTTTAATTTTTTGTATGATTTACGATTGTACACCACCATCTCTATATTATCGAACACGTATACGAGTTATATATAATTTCGATGGACCTATTCTCTATATTCCCGTTCTATATTCCCATTTTGAGAGAAACGGGTAGTTTTTCGACAGGATGGGGAAAAGATTAGGGAAGGCATTACGCCGAGGCACTTTAGCCAATGTCGCCGTTTCGATACTTACAGTTACCCCATTCCCCCACCTCTCTCTTTCTCTCTCCTTTCGAATCATCTACCTTGAACCAAATAAAGAAAGAGAGAGAGAGAGAGAAGAGTTTCCAAACGATGAAGGCCCCTTCTTCGAGGCAAGGACGATATCTTGAAGGAAAATCCCAGTTCGCCCTTACGCTTATAGTAGTCGAAATGGAAAGGGTTCGCGAAGGGCTCCGGAAGGACTGCGGGGTTATAATGAAATATAGCCTCGTTCCGCTTCGTATAAGACTGCATTAAGATTATACTTTGGCGTGAGAGAGCGCGTGCGCGCGCGCGCGCGAGCGAGCGAGCAAGCAAGCGAACAACCACGCTCCTTGGCGACCAAAGAAGGTCGAAATAAAGGGGGTGGTTATAGGGACCATGGCTGGTGGCTAAGAGCGAAAGGGGTAAGGGATTCCTCCTACGGTGTTTTAATC